AATACAGAGACGAACTCAAGAAGGAAGGTAAGAAGGTTACCTGGAGTGTGGAGCCTACTGAGTACGAGGGTTTTCCAAGTCCTCCTATTCCAGATAGCTTCGTCAATGGTGAGGACTGGGAGCCTATCCTTAATGCCGTTTTGAGAGATAGGAAGTGGAGCAGAGTCAACATTGGCGATTCAGGCACTGGATAGGATTGGACGAATTGGAGAGAAAGAAGGATCATGGGGGTTGCTAGGGACTAAGCAATGTCTGGTTACTGTCCGGGAGTCACGGCAACACTAGACGCCTTAGTTCCTTTTACCAGTGGAGGAGCTTTTCCCTACAAGATAGAGGGAATGGGGAGAGGCACGAATAAGATATGAAAGGAATTTAGGCCGGTGGAAAGGGTGATGTGTTGACCCCGATGGGGGTTGGATGCTTGTCTCTCTGATCGCGTTGGACTCGTGCAGGTGAGTGTCTAGGATGACATGTGCAAATCGGGACGGGAGCTCGGAGTCTGGGATTGGAAGAAGAGATGGTTTGCATGGTCGACCATGAGGCCCGTGTGTGCTTGTATTCTATGGGGGCCTGAAAAGACTAAGGGCCAGCCTGCTTGGATGGATGAACGAAGGACTATGCCGTAGGCGTAGGAGAGGCGGCTAGGGGGAGGGAGTGGGGCAACTCCCCCGAGGAGGCCTTAGGACCGACTAGTGAAATGGTGCGTGGCCTAAGGAGAACGCTTAGCCTACGCATGAGAAAGAAGAGGGACTCGCAAAAAACTCCCTGGACTGCATGAGTATTGGAAGGAGCAATTGCTTGGTCACACAAGGGGAGAATCGAGAACCTACGCTTGCGATTCCAAATCAGTGAGGCTACCACCCGACTAGAGGGCTGAGCTACGTCCCCCAACGATAAGCTCTCTCGCCCTAATGGCCCAGCCCCACCCATATCAAAGCATTAGGTGGGGGTGACTTTGGGACGAACGACCTGCGCCCTGAGCTTGAGCGCGGGCGGGTCGAGCCAAATGGGACCCGCAAGGGGGTCGACAAGGCTCGAAAGTCTACCGGAGTTAGGCCCGACAGCGCGCGCGCGCGCGCCGCGCGCGCGCGCGSGAGAGAGAGAGAGAGAGAGGGGGGGGGGGAGAGATAGAGAGAGAGAGAGACCAACCACGCAGACTGTCGGCGGGTGAGGGCGAGGCCCGCGGGACAAGCGGGAGGAGGAAGGGGGGAAGAGCAGGAGGAGCAGCGGTAGGAGGAAGAGCTATCAGGGCAAGGGAGGTTGCAATCGAGGGAAGTAGAGGTTGGGATGGAGAGACGGAGAGGGAAGTCGGGATCTGTGGACAGAGGTGGGGATCGATGGGGGGAAGTGGGGGGAAGGAAGCCGGGATGGGGAGGGAAGTCGCCGGACAGAGGTCAGGGGAGATAGGTCGGAGGAGGGAATCGGGATCGGGGGAGAGAGGTGGGGACCGGTGGAGGAAGGTTGGGATCAAGGGAGAGGTGGGGATCGATGGAGGAAAGTCGGGATCGGGGATAGAGGTGGGGATCAATGGAGGGAAGTAGGGGGAGGGATGCTGGGATGCGGAAGGAAGTCGGCGAAGGGAGGTCGGGGGAGGGAGGT